CACATTACACACACACACATCCATCAGTACACATTACACACACACACGCACACATCCATCAGTACACATTACACACACACATCCATCAGTACACATTACACACACACACATCCATCAGTACACATTACACACACACACATCCATCAGTACACATTACACACACACACGCACACATCCATCAGTACACATTACACACACACATCCATCAGTACACATTACACACACACACATCCATCAGTCCACATTACACCACCACCCCCACCAACAACAACACCTACAACACAACACCAACAACATCTACACCAACTGACTGGTAATCTCGTCCTTGATGTTGTAAATCTTGCTGCTGCCACGACGTAGCAGACTGCGACTCTCCCCGGGGCTGGCCATCAACAGCTGCAGACTGTCCTTCCTCCGTGCGGGGATGTCCTCCAGCAGGCCCTGGACCCCCACCAGTCTGCACCGGGACAAACAACAACAAGTTTTGGCTTTACTTTTAGTTACAGTTTTACGGCACTCGCAACACAATTAGGTCATACAAGTGCCCAAGATTGGAAAATAGTGAAATGGTATAGGTTTAACGCCCCTATCAACACTATTAGGTTATTTAAGAGGCGGGACCTCCGAGATTAATGTCCATTCCTGAAAGGACCGAGCCAAGTGGGAAATTCGTGTAAAGTGCCTTTCCCAAGGACACAATGTCGGACCGAGCTGAGGCTCGAACCCCAAGACGTGTTACAAGAGAGTAACAAACACAAAAAAGGAGGAGAGATCAGGACGATAGATGTTTGATAGGAAAGAAGGAGTGAACCATACCGAGCACCCGCCAACCACCCACAGCCCGACATTCCACAGACATCTGTCACTTTACATAACACACTGGTGCTGGCCAATCAAAGTGTATTGTGACCACATGCAAAGAAACACGTGCTTTTTTATGTCATTTCCCATGAGGTCGTGACATTAGGGCAATTAAACACCAATACAAATATGTGGAGGCCATTTACAATACAGCACAACATTGGGCAAATAAATACACGTAACAATGGGCATTTTCACCTCATTTACAGTGACCCCCATACGACCTGACAGGAACAGAATTCAAAATTATAAAAACCAAATGATTTTATGCAATTCCGCTTGGGGTTCTTTGACAGACAAAGAGAACAGTGTGGTAGATCTGAGGTGTTCTTTGACAGACAAAGACAACAGTGTGGTAGATCTGAGGTGAGCTGTAGGGCGACCCACCTGACTTCCAGCTTCCCAGTGAGTGCGGCGGGCTTGTTGAAGAAGCTGGTGTTGTTCTTGTGGCCGTGGGAGGAGGAGAGGCGGGTGGGGGTGATGAAGGTGGGGTTCAGCAGCTCGTCCAGCTCCTCCTTCAGCAGCTTGGCTCGGCTCGACACGGGGTCTAGCTCCGCGTGACGGCCCTCCAATGACATACGCATCAGCTCTAGCTTCATGCTCGACTCTGCCAGCCGGTTCTGAGCCTGGGGGGGACACATCAGACATACATCATGCAGGTTCACAGTGTGTGTGTGTGTGTGTGTGTGTGTGTG